ACTATTAATTTTATAAAACTTTATTTATTGATGTCGCTATATTTATCAAATTATTTTGCTATATTTCGTATGGTTTGAACAACCGAACGTTGTACTTTCGTGCAATAAAGCGAGTTTAAAGTTTTCGTATTCTATGCAATTGTTTGCCCTTACGCTTATATAATGAATATTTGTTATAACGGATTAGCACAAAAGAACTTTACACTTTCAAAATGATTATTATAGATTTGGTGATGCGACACTAACCAGCAAACCAACCCCACGGTCCAAAATAGTTATTTTCCAGAAGCTATTAGTCTCTCAGGTTCCTTGTCTTTTATGAACCGGTTTAACCTGAGCCGGTTTAATCCAGTTTACGTTCTCAAGTATATTTCTTTCAGATCCGTTCGCTTCCTCTCCGCCGAACGCTGGCATAGAACGCGGTCTGTCTTGTGTCGTGCAGCTACGATATGAATGTGGTTAACAAGATACATAATCTCAACATGTGTACGGTACAGTCATAAGATCATTTAAAACTTAAAATCAGGTTAAAAGTGTTATATAAATTTTAAAACTTTATGGTCTTCTAGGTATTTATGGAATTAAGTTCTGGGCTTCAAATAGAGATGGTTGCACAAAGAATGAAACATTAAATAATAAATAAATAAATATTAATGACTAATATTATTAGGACGAACTTATTATTGAAGCTGCTTACATAATTTTTTGTGTTCCCCATGTTGTTACTGTTTCTAGAACATTAAAATGTAAAGATCCTGGGATGGCCTCTAACGGTGTAACGTACCGAATTTAGTGAAAATCGGTTAATTAGGACTAAGGTTGAAGGTGGGAGCATATAGACAGTGTGGTGATCGTCACGATGATTTTTTATTCTTTTGAGAAAGGGAAAATTTCCTAATAAATAAATGTTATTGACGGGCAGTGTCAAGGGTAAGTACCAAAAGTGGCAACTCAGCCTGGATTATTACCGATGAGGCAGTTAAACGCGCGTGGTCAGTAGGTATAGCTGGTGGCGTCTAGCTCCTGAGAAGTTACACCCAAGGCCAAGACCACAGGTGAATTGCTTGAGATTCCCCAATACTATACGCGTAGGAGGGGGAAACCCATCTTTTATACTCCTCCGCACTATTACACGGCAGAACTAGTGCAGTAAATCGCTGGTTTTTCCTCAGCTACCCCGGGGTCATCCCCTACATTACGGTCTTTCCATATTCTCACAACAAACATGATACAACAGATAAATTGAATTGTCATAGTGATTCCCGACCATTCGCACCCCAAAGAATTCGTCATTCAAATTGATGTAAATAATCTCAAAACAGGATATTCCCCCCCACCCCTTAACAAGTCCGTGGTAGTCAAATGACTATGTCAGAAGAGAAATCTGTGTACTAATTCCCTGGAAAGTCGTGATTCTTCAGTTACATTGAAGTAAAGTACCTCAGAATGGAAATTTTTACGTCTCATAATAATTATGATATCAAAGGCTGTTCCAGGATACTCTTATTCAAGACGGACCTGTCTTAAGAATGGCTAGACAATATCTAAAATGAGAATGTTATAGCAACATAATTAAAAGAAATTGTTTATGGCGAGACAAGAGTGATAATTTAATAGTGATACCTTGCCCATTTTGATAACTTATTCTTTGCTATCATGTATGAGGATTGTGATCGAATAAAGGGTAGTGGGATGGTCTGGGCATGTAGTACGTATTGGACAGATGAGAATGTTTACGGAAGCATACTGTGGGAAGCTGTAAGGAAGATATTATTGAAATGTCTATGTGTAGGTAGGAGGATGACATTAAAGAATATATTAAACAAATAGTTTATGAGAATGTGGACCGAATTCTGCTGGGACCAATAGCGGACTTTTCTAAGCACTACAAGCCCCATATAAGTGTTGTGAAGTTATCATGCTGTCGTACGAGGAAAGTCCCAATTTCGATACTTATCCGAGAGGGTTTTCGTAGTCTTCCTCTGATTATTCATGGGTTTGAATCTGGGAAGTAGCAAGAATTATGTTTTTAACCATCACGGCTTTGGGATCGACCCATGCTGTTGGGAGGGGGTGGGATTTTTCTCTAGGAACAAAGCGGCCTTCGCATGGAACCTAACCTCTCATACTCATAGCCTAAGTGCCAGTGTTAAGATTGCGTGGATGTTTAGGTCTGCCGCCACTTCCCATCCGTCATCATGAGATGATATTTAAGTACAGGGACACTTTTGGTACTAGCAACTTTCTTTCGTGTAGTCCCATTCATCACCCAGCCCTAAGCCACTCTCTCATTCTACCTTCGCAGATGCGAAAGCTGTGTTAAATGAAGTTCCATAAAATCATAACAGGAGTGTGGTTCGTGGCTTTACTCTGGCAGTGAAGTAGACGCTGAATCGTGGTGTGGGCCTCGTGTGCGAACCCTGCATCCGCTCTAGTCCCCACGCTTTCTCCGCTGCAAACACAAAGCTTCTTCATTCTCTTGTTCACGAATGTTTGATGAGGCAGTTTCGCCCATCCATCCAACAGATGGCAGAGCCACCCACGTATTCACATGATGATATTTAAACAAAAGCATTTAAAATCACAATGTTTTTTTTAATTTTTACTTTTTATTTGTAAATAAAATGGTTAGCCATCCAAATTATCGTTCAGATTCTTTTTTAAAAACATTTTTTATTTAAATTTCAGTTTGACATGTTGTTTAGTTTACAGGTGGGTGGAAATAGTTTTAGTAGGCCTACTGTAGTAGTAGTAGTTAAGAATGAAACCTGGAAACTGTGATAGTTCAGACGTCCCGTTTTATTCACTTTCCTGTAATTTACTCATTAAAGGAACTGATATCCCTAGATGTATTCCGTTTTTATATAATGAAATAAATTCCTTTCTTTTAACGTTGTCCGTTATTTGAATATAAGTTTTATAGGTTGTTATGTAGCCTTGTAGAATACAATTTCTTAAAATCTTACCGCCTCACTAGTTTTCTCCACTTCTGGTCTAGTTGCTAGGCGACCACGGCTTAGACAAAGGATATCGACACCCGCCATTGTTTTGTTGCTTACCAACTGTATAATATATGAAACGGCCACTACGCGGGTTCACAGCAGCAAGTAAAAAAAAAAAAGCGATGCCACGTACGTTTGCAATTTTCGTACACTTATTTTTTGTTCAGTCAGAAGGATGATATTCAGAAGATCATATTTTATTAATTTAAACCTATCTACAGATTTTTAAGAGAAATCCCGGCGAAGAAGTTACCGTTCCCTTAATAGAGGTCTCTACTCCTACATTGTTTCGGAAACCAGCTTCTGTGCTCTTTTGTTATAAAAATATAGGATATTAAATACTTTTCTTTCACATCATTTTAGTTTTCTCTGATTTTGTTAAAGGTAATTTCATCTATTAAATTGTTTTATTATTACGGTAATATAATGAAGTAAGATGAGATGTGCAGGCTGTGTAGCACGAATGGAAGTCAGAAAGTAATGCAAAGTTTAAGTCGGAAAAATTTCAAGGGTTAAAGCCAATTGGTAGACGTATGCGCAGATATAATATTAAAGTGGTTCTTAAAGAAATAGGACTTAAGAATGAGCACAGGATTCAACTCTCTCGGAATATTGTTCAGTTATGAATAGGCCTCTGAATCTTTTGTGTTCTGTGAAACTTAATGAATTTCTTGACTAGCTGAGTAACTATCAGCTAATCAAGAAGGATTCTGCTGCGTCTAATAAAATATATCGTAAAATCCATTACTTGTAACTTGTTTATGGACTGAATATTTCAATCGATAGAGCGCCCTGTTAATTATTAATGATTTATTCAAGCTGTAAGTATCTTGTCGTCGGGGCGCAGTTAGCCACACCTGAGGTCTCGTCACGACTACGTGTCTCTTCATGGGTGTGGAGAGTGCGATGCACTTACGAATTCCCCATCTCAGCCCTGAATTATCCAACCTGCTCCCTTCTGTATCAAATTCCGTTCACAAACAGCGAACCGACAACGATGAAGAAAGAGAAAGAAGAAATGGAACTAAAAAGAGGAATTAAATAAAGGACGGAAGAAAAGAGGTAGAAAACAGTAAAGAGAGAGAATAGAAAGGCAGAGGAAGGTGTTAAGCCTACGCATTCACACATCGCTTAGCAGAAAAGTGATTTCTTCCGTTCAGATTTTCCGATCAAAATTGTGTAAGCATCTTTTACCCATCTCATGCCTTATATATGCCTCACCCATCACGTCATTCGTGATTTGTATATCGTGATAATATTTTGCTGAGGGTACAAATTATAAGATCCTCTGTGGTTACCTAGAAGGCGTCTTTGACACTAAAGACTGCGCTTTGGGGTTGGGGATTCCTTTTTTTAAAATGGCTTTCCCCCCAACACTAGCAATGCTTTGTTGTAGTCTGACTTTTGTCTTCAGATAGCCTGAAAATTTCTTCCCACGGAAGTCCCAATTGAAGCGATTTATCGTATTCATTTCTATTTTCAGTCACACATCGTCAGAAACGTTCCTCTCAAGACTTTACTAAATTCATGCCTCACCCTCTCTCTCGCACCTCCACCCATCCCCCTCCAAACCGCAAGATATCGATTCCGCAAATCCCTTCCATCTCTCTCTAACATTACGTCACGGTTATTGCGTCATAATGATGACGTCTTGGGTCTGCCTCCACCCCCTCCACCAGCCAGTATCTGCCCCCCACTGCCAGCCGCGTACGCCTCATCGATCTACCAGCTCACGGCCCGGTGATGACGTCATGAATTGCGGGGTCTCTGACGTCATTTCGCCTCCTTCTCCACCTCGTTCTCCTCTACCGTTGTACTGTGTAAGGCGGTGTTTTATAATATGGGCAGAGGGGCGGTCAAGACTCAGTCTTGTGCTTTACTCGAAGCTGTGAGGATCTAACTCAGTGGTCACCTGGGTGTTGAGTGTGTGAGTGTGTGATGTAGTGGGGACACATGATACGTGTCGTCGGGTCTGCGATTACCGTTCTGGATCATCACCATCAGTCCACTACACCTTCACCACCAACTGAACCGTTACTTCAAGTGCTTACCCCTGCAGTTCAACCGGCGTCGTCTTCTCAAAGCCCTCAGGGTCAGGGTTCGTCTTCGCCGTCGACAAGAGCTGCCCCCACACCCCCAGGTGGGTCCGTTCCCCTTATCTCACAATGCCTTAAACGCGAGTGACTGGTATGTGGTTAATTCACAGACAGACTGACTTTCAGTCTAAATAGCCTCGTGTAGTCGCGTGTTGTCATGGGGCGACGAGTAGATTCCTTCGTCCACTGACTATGAAATACGCGGTGGATAGAAATGTATCTGCCACGTTCAGCGCCTTGGGCTCTGTTCTGCTGAGAACAGCTGAGCGTCGCTTGATCGAGCCATCAGCTTTAAACTCAGTAACAACATCTCTGTCGCGCATTGTAACGACGACTCAAAAATTGTAGTTTGAAAGTCGTAAAAAATACCTTATTTAGCAAAACCTGAACATAAATCTGTGTGATACAGAAAACAGAAGATAGCTAAGGATCCGTTTATGAAGATATCAAAAAATTCAGTGAAGTGATAAGTTTGTGGACTACAAAAATAAGATTCCGGGTATCATTTGGAATTTGATTTATAGACGGAGGAGAAAAATATTCAGATAAACAAGTAGAAACAAATGAAGATCTGAATGGTGCTGATAAATTACGATACCAGGATGCATAGAAGACATGCAAACTTCAACAACCTGCCTCTACAAGAACAAAAGCGACGACAACAACAACAACAACAATAGGAACAACAATTCTGGTATCTGTCTCAGTAAGTCATGACCATTATTGCCTGTGTTCACTCCTTGCGGAGAGCCGGCAAACAAACCACTAACTTGCACTTGCACGTTGCTAACAGTAGTTGTAATCTGTGCGAAGAATGAATGAAAACGTTAGAAGACTGTTAGCTATAATTGGACCATCACACCCCCTCCCCCTGCAGCGGGGGGCACATGATCAGTTGGTAACATTAAACCACGTGTTGTGCTCTGGCGTCGAGCCCAGGACCACAGAGCATGTGACGCTAGACGAGGCTATTTGAGTTTGGCAACTTTGGATGAGTGACAGAAAAATAGAGTTCAAGATGAAACGAGAAACAAATGACTATCTCCCAGTGGGCGTCTTAAACAGAGCCGTGCTTTGTATAGTTGCCCCTTTAAGATAGGTTGCCCTCACGTGGCTCCGGCTGTGACGCCATCTTATTGACGTAATGGCTATCCCGTCGTTTTTTAAACACTTTACGGGAGATCCCGTAATTGTTTGCGTCACTGCTGACGTCAATCCACGCCCATGCGGCAAGTGACGTCACATGTCGCACCCGGCGAATCGATCTGAAGTTGCGACGTCACATCTCTCGCCTTTCGTCTCGTCTCTCTTTTTCCGGTGTTGATCCTGCAAGTGGTAATATGCTATTCCCTTTCCTCCTCGCGTATCATGATGAGATGGTCCCTGTATGACGTAATTAACCTCCTATTACGTCATAGCTCTCGTGCGTGTTTGTGTTAGATCCGGCCGGCTGGTGTAGGTGGCAACAAATCCACAGCTGTCTCTTCATCACAAGCTTCTTTGGAATGCATGTCTCTTCTGGGATTGTTACACAAGCGTGACCTATTTTAGACGACAGATGAATGAAATTGTTTTTATTCCACAAGGACGTCACCCTCTCCTTTTTCTCGTGTTGCATTTCCGTAACCTCATTCTTAAGTTATGTCCCCTTAAAAAACATAAACATCTCGGGGATTGAGAGATGTTTTGGGGTTGTCATTCCTGTAACTCTTGTTTTTTTTTGTTTGTTTATTATTGTCTTTGTTTTCTTCTGAGATCCGTTTTTCTTCTCCCTCGCATTGCGATTCTCACGACATTGAAATTTCAGCTGCCAAATATATTCGTGGTACAGGCAAATAAAACTTTCATTGAAATTTGTAACATAACCCAAATCTGTGTCGCTGTTCTTTAACTAACATAACAGAAACGCAGTAGTTCGCTCCCGGTATTGTGATTTGTGTACTCAGATCACCAGTTACGTAATTTGAACCAGTTTCAAGGTTAGTCATTAAACAAGTGTTATTTCGTACCTTATAGCTATCGTAAATGACAGTTTCAGTGTAAACAGTGAAGAGTTACTTCGGAAAGTTGTGACGTGGGGCTGTCGGAGGCTGGCCGTTCCGCCTTCCTCAGCCTCTCCCGACCGCAGTCACACGATAACCAAACCCGCGCAAAGCGAAGGATTACGCCGCGTGACTCACTCTCGTCTTATGCTCCAAAAATAGTTTCAAGCTCTTTTATTTATATGAACGAACGAAGGAACTGTGTAATTTTTATTCATAAATTACTTCTTCGTCGTATTCCTTCTCGTTGCAGACATTTTACTCGAATACACAAGATTCTTTCTTCTCTTTGCAGCGAAGCAGGTTTTCTCAAGGTTTTACAGCAATTTAAATTTTTCCAATACCGGAATTTTTTTTTCGTTTAAATTATCGATTAAAATTTGAGAATGTGTATTAGATTCAGCTGGCTCATGATAGAGGACAGTGATGGACTTTGTGACTAAACTTCGAGGTACAAATTAGGCGGGGGGGATTTCTTCAAACCCTTGACTAATCCGCTGTTCTTAAATAGCGGTTGTGTCGCAGAATTTGTGTGGACCGAGTCTAAAATAGTACGCATTAAGAAAGAGTTCCAGGAAAAAGGTATGCATCTAATTAAGATGTACGCTACAGTTTTTGCCTCAAACATGATTTGCGCTTATTAATATCAAATGCCAAATGGCTACACTACACTAAACATCCCAAAAGACAGCCATCTTCTGAAAGATACGTGATTAATTGATGGATGGGCAAACATACGCTCACTCATATTTACATAAATGTCACTGTGACTAAACCATTCATATGTACTCATGAAATGACAGGAAGCAGACAGCTTATGTATTTTCATTGATAGGATACGAGAGTTGTGTTAATATTCTGTCACAATATAAATCAGTGTTCATTTCGTGTCTGGGCGATAGTAGCGCCATAACTTGTGTTCACACAATCGATTCTTTCGCTTAATTAGTAACGCTTATTGTAACTCGATGCTTCATTGTTTGTTTATCTGTTATTACGTCGCAACAGATGATGAGACGCCATATGTTTTGTTATATAACTGTTTATTTTCTCTACGTAGTACATACGTTTTCTCAGTTACAGACTGATGATGACGTTTTCATTGAGTAGACAAATAGCATGGAACTGTAATTCATACGGGGAAAACTTCATTGTATTACTCCAGCATACAGTTTAACCTAGTTAACTCCGTTTGGATTTACTGGTTCCTAAGTAACTTAATGACGCAGTTTCAAATACGTGGTACGTAGAGTTGTTTAATTCTTCGTTTGGGAAGCTGATAAACAATTTGTTTTCAATTTGTGACCATTATCTAGCAAAAATTACTCATAAAGGAAATAAATGAACTACTTTCTCGATGGTGTAGAGCCTTTCTTATGAAATTAGTCAATAAATTCTCTGACTATTACGGAATCAGAAGATTCATTACCGTGTTTACAAGGTCCCGTTATTGGTCCATATCTTGAAATCAATTAATCTAGTTCACATCCGTACATAATTTAAATAAGAACAGTGACAATATATTTCTTCCATCTACATCTTCCAAGTGGTCTATGTCCTCAGATCTGTCTTTTTCCTTTTTCTGTGCTTTAAGGAAAACTGTTGTAACATCAGTTACATCAGAATTGTATTTGAAAAAAAACATTGGGTCATTGTCTGGTTTTAAGGTAAGTATTTTCTTTCGATGTTGTTTATTGGATAAGAAAAATAAACTAATGTTTTCGAGGATTACTGAAACTGTCTTGTCTTCAAATTATAGGAAGAGAACCCGAGTAAGATAAATGAAGTCTTCAACGCTAAGACCGAAGTAATTAATTTCTTCCCAGTGCTTACCAGACCCCAGCAATCACAAATCCTACGGACTCACTTTTCAAGGCCGCTGTTGTTATTAGTTTTAATACTTCGTTTCAGTTTATCTTTGTGAATAAAACTTCACTTCCCGGCTGTCCGTGAGGTCATGTTCGAGAAGAATCATTCTTCGGAAACTGATTGTCGCTCGGTTGGTCAGCAAAAATCCCTGGCCCATTTTGGAGTCCCAAATGCTCATAACCGTGTTCACAAAATCATGCAACTGGACGCAATGCTGAGTCAGTTTGATCCAGACCACACTATCGCGCCATATTTAATGATGATGGAGATTTTTTAGACTTATGCGCTTTTTTCACACATCTTGGACTTACCATCTCCTCCTGCTTTATTTGATTATCCTACTAATAGTTGGTGAAGAATATAGATTCTGAAGCTCCACATATGTAAGTTTTCCCATTTTTCTGTTCTATTCTTTCTGTCATGCTTTTTTCAGTACTCTGTTCTCAAAAAAATTTTACAGTTATATCAAACAATTGGTAAAATTACCACTCTGTTTTAATATTTACGTATTTATATGGCACCTAATTTCCGCACTCAAAATTTTATGTTTAATTAAAATCTGCGTATCGAAAACAAAGCTACTGTATGAATTTATTCCATTATTATGATGAAATCGATTGACCAAAATTCTTCGATAAATTACTGCTCTACGCTGAGGAAAAATTCAAAATTATTTGTGTTTCGATTGTCTGTTAATTTCTGTACATATATGCCTTGCTGTTATGCCGCAAAATATGTGCAGACGGTGATAAATTGTGAATCGGGTGGAATTCGATTGTGATCTGTTCGAAGACACTTTCTGACACTTGCCTGTAGCTCCTTAGGGAACCACGAAAAGCTTAAGGATAGGCCTCCCAGGGATACAATCCTGAGACTTTCACAAAAACAAGACAGATGAGCTGTGCGCTCTGCCAGATGTTTAAATATAGTGTTACGCTGTGCTCTTAGATACTGAGCGTCTGCTCAAGGCATTGGCTGTAATGTGACCACTTATTTTCATTTGCGGTTGCTGTAAGTACTAATGACGACAGTTCAGCATTGATGATAATTATCTAGTTAGAAAACATGACTTAGGTACTTTCATATGTTTATGACAGTCCTACATTCTCCGAAGAAAAAGTTTGACAAACGCAAATAAATAATCTCGGTGACGGATTATTCACCGAAGCAATGTTGTTATTTCTGTTTTAGCAACGAAATTACATTACAATTCAAGCATGGAAAGGTTTGCTCAAATAGGAAATATTTTACAAATATCCACTGTTATTTATATGCATTCATTCTTACAAATCCCTTACTTCGAAGCTAATCGGACCACAAAAACCAAATTGTGGATTGTAGATTTTTCGTACTTTCACAACATTAAATGTTCAAAATGTCTTAGGATGTTGTCAGTAAAAGAAGTTTATTTTTTGCACCAATAGCTTGTACGAAGATCTGTCTTTGAGAAAATTGGTAAAGTTCAATGTTGTTTTCTTATAAATTATGCGTTATTATTAGATTATTCAATCAATAATATTAATAATCAATATTTATTTAAAACTCCTTACAGAAACAATGCTTACTTTGTTACAATAATTTCTGTTAGAAATAACTATACGTCTTCATGCAAATTAGTACTATATAATTTATTCTGGCTTCTTGGATATATTAATATCTGTTAAAACGCAAAGCCAGTTTTTTTCAAAACAGAGTCTTTAAATGCCACGTTGTTTCTTGTTTTAAACACATCGGAGGCTTTGTTTTAATATTCGAAAATAACTAGACTGCTTAATATGTCTGCTTGCAGAGACAT